ACACACACACACACACACAGGCCCCCTCAACCCACCCCACCACCCTCTTTTTTCTTCTTCTCTGCGGGTCAAAACTCTTTTATTCATTCTCTGTGCGCGCTCACGCACCCACACACACTCACACACTCCCCTTAATGTCTCGGATTGGGGCAGATAAGAGTGGACAGCTGGCGAGTGTGTTGCCAGTGCGCGACAGCTGCTCCATTGTCTCCTCTCTGCCGGCAGCTGCCCACTTCAAACAATACCTCCCCCGCCTCAGCCAATCCGCGCCCTGCCCACTCCGAGAGTAACGAATTGGAAGGTAGCATGTAAATTTATGGCACGCGTGAGATTATTCCCAAAAACTTTCCTTAGAATAAATCAAGTGGTCGTGTGTGTGTGTGCGTGCGTGTGCGTGTGGCAGCAGGAGGGGGCTGTGTGTGGTGTTTACGCACAAGTTGCCTTCTAACGGTACTCACTGGATCTGGTTATAGACCCAACACAGACATTAACTCCTTATATATAAATTATATTTAGAATTTACATTTACTACACAACTCAGACGTGTTCCTGTAAACTTTAAAACAACTTTATGGTGTTTATTAAACCCTTGAAATGTATATTTAGGTTCTATCCCTCCCAAACCAAACACACTTTTACGCACATGCTTCCGATGGGATAAGTCTTGTCACTCACGTTCTGTGCAGTACTGTCCCTTCCACCCGGCGTCGCACACGATCTCCCCGCGCTCTCCGCAGGTAAAGTGTCCGAAGGCGTCGTCTCTCGGCCGGCAGAACACCGAGCAGCCGTCCCCGTAGTAGTGCTCATCGCACACGAACCGGTACGAGTACTTGAGCTCCGTCTTGCCGCCAGGTTGCAGGTTTTGGGACCAGTCCTCGCCCACGGTGAGATGCCTCTGGATGGTCATGGTGCTGATGATGCGGTCTGGGTTCTCTAAAGTGCGCGTGGGGAGGAAGAAAGTGGATGGAAAGAGGAGGGGGGGGTTAAGAAACCGGGAAAGTGCGTAAATGTGACCTAATTCGAAAAGGGAAGGGTGTTTATCTCCTACCTGTGGAGAGGTCGTCTCTGGAGTCGGTGTGTAATGCCTCAATGATCAGCGAGAAGGTCCCCTGGGAACACAAATGGCTTCATGAGACAGGTGGCCAGCGGAGATGCGGCGATAACATCAAGCACAGGCCCGAGGCGGTTGTGCCATACAGTCACTGGGCTGAAAACAAACTGCCTACAACCCGATCTGCTGAAACTGAACACCCGTAAACCTTCCGCGCTCTCTGTCCTGAACTTGTGGTCAGACATTGTGTCGCTGCGCGTTTTTACGCACGGATTTAACAAAGAAAAGGGCGCGATTTCGCTGCCTCCGCTTCTACTGTTGTGACACGAACACGAGTGGCTGCACTTACCGGCCACGTGAAGCCGAAGTTTATCCTGACGGGGTTGGTGAATGAACTCTCCGGGATGACATCGGGAACCTGGAAGGAGTTGGAGCCGAGGACTGGCGTCACGGCGCCGCCGTAGGTGCACGGAGGCTCCGGGGAGGCGTTGGGCTGATAGTGCTTGAGACAGATCCTGAAGAAGGTTTTACATTCGCACTGCTGCTGGAAGGCTGAGGTCAGACCTCCCTTACAACAGTTCTTGTTGCCCTGCACTCCCTTCTTGTTTAGGAACTCCTGCAACTTCAGCTCAAACACTCCCGAACAAAACCCCTGCGGAGGAAAAGCAGCTTATTATCAGTAACTGCGCACACGGCACCGCGTGCATGTGTGTGTGTTGTGGTGGGAGTGATGGGAGGGAGAAGTGTGTGTGTGTGTGTGTGTGTGTGTATGTGAGGGGGGTGATGCGATGGTTCATTGTTTGGATAAAATAGACATTGAGGATCTTACCTGGCACAGCAACATGGACATGACGGCGAGAGTCAGCAGGATGACGCGCCCCATATTAAATAAATACATAATAAATAAAGAATAAATAAAATGAAAAGTCTCGGCTGCTCCTCAGGGTGCCTCCTCCTCTTCAGACCCTCTGAGGAAGATGCATTGAGCACGTTTCTGTCGCCTCTCGGGGTTTTCTCATCAACTGCTGCCGCTGTCAGCCGCGCCGCTCTCACTCATATCCCGAGGAGCAAAAAGAGGATAAATCCCAACTCTTAAAAAAAGAAAAGAATAAAACCACAGAATAAGATATGTGGTGAATTATAAAACAGAGAAGTCCTCCAGTTCCGTTATGAAGCGATAATCCAGTGCGTAAAAAAAGGGGGAAATGATGGTTCCTTGTTTTGTTGTTGTTCAGATAGTGACAGATTTTCTTAAGGAAGTATAATTTTTTTGTGTTCAGCTCTTGGTCGAACCCAGGGACAGATTTGTCACTGGTCCAACATGCTTCCCTCTCCTCCCCTATGTCTTTCCTCACTGTGAACTGTGCGTCTGTCTCCAGCCCCGGCGGCCTGTCGCCTGTTATATACGGCCTGACACATGCTATGGTAATAACATGCAAATGGAGCCTCCTCCTCCTCCTCCTCCCCGACTTCACCTCCCAATCTGGCCCGGCTCTCCACAATGGGATCCCATGCAAGTTGCCCCCTCACCCCCCAACAGCCTCTGAGCAGCTCATATACAGCGATAATATCTGCGCCCAACAAACCCGGAGATGTGTGAAAGTATCTCAGGCAAAGTGGACGAGGCGAGATTGAATAAGAATCATTTTCTGTTTGGTAACATCAGCTCATCCTTCAGTGTGTCTCCAGCAGACCCACAGGCTCAAGTGAGCTTTGACAATGGGAGCAAACTTCAGATAAAGATCATGACCCAAGTGTTTCAGTCAAATTAGAGCCTCGGATAGAAACGTGGCACCAAAGTCACATAAAGCGCAGGTTTGATGCCACAGATGCCAGATTTGCTCCTGGCATGTGGATGTGAGAGCCGTGCGCTCTGGACTGATCCCTCCAGCTGTTCCCTCCCTGGACGAACCTCTTTGTGTTTTGGCGTCTGAAGATGTTTTGGGGGGTAAAGAGCCAAAAACTCAGTGTGAAGCTAATTTAAAAAAATCTTTGGGGGGAAAAATGTTTCTTGGTCAACCCCTGACTCAGTTAATTGTTTACACCCCTTCCTTCCTCCCCCTTCTTCTCCTCCCCCTTCTTCTCCTCCTTCTCCTCTTTCCTCCTCTGCAAACACAAACACACACACTCTTGAAATGTTTTGGAGGCTGTTTGTGGTTGTGGGAAGAATGTGATGCTTTGAATGGAGTCAAAGGCGCAGAGAAAAACATTCCTTGGCAGCGCAGCGCGCTGAGGTGAACGACTGGAGGGGCTGGACTCCTGCTTTTACCGTTTTGCTCTTCTCTTCTTCTCATTCTCTGAGCTGAGATTAAAGAAAACCCGTGCACGCGTGCGTTGTGTGCGTGTGTTTAGATGTGTGTGTGTGTGTGTAGGTGCTTGCGGGGGGGGTGGCGCGCGCACTGGAGTCGCTCGCGTGGCCAACATGAGGGGGGAACTTTTGTTATTTTGCACGTGTGTGTGTGTGTGTGTGTGTGTGTGTGTGTGTGTGTGTGTGTGTGTGAGAGAAGAAGTTTGCTCTGTACGCACACACACACACACACACACCCTCAGCTGTATGGTAATTCGTCCAGCACCTGCTCTCCCCTCAATAACAGCGTGCGCGCGCCTCCCTTAGCTGAGCGCGCGCCCACACGTCCATATAGCCAGT